CGGGTGCCAGATCCCATGGGCCTTGGCCGGGCCCAGCGCTGCCCCTGTCCCATCTCGCCCAATGCCACTAACTCGAGTGCGGCCAATCTCGCTCACCTTCCTTGTCTAGCGGCCCTTTGCCCTCCCACGCCCCTTGCCCACGCCCCCCCTTCCCCCACCCTCTCTCCCGTCCACTGGCCACTGGCGCTGGTTGACTGGGTCCGGTGCCTTGTTCGCCCACTCAAGCCGTCGACCTAACATTGAATCGAATACAATCCGCCGCCTGGCCTCCTGCCCGGCCTCTTCTCCCTCGCCCAAGTCTTCCTCCATCTTCGCAACTTCACCTCCAGGCGGCTGCTTTACCGCGCTCTTTGCACATCTCATCCTCGCCAACTTGGTGCAATTCCAGCAGCACTTCTCGTCGAGAGCAGGCGCTGGTTTTGGCCGTCCACTCCTTTGTCGCCTTGATTTTGCCCTGCCTCTACAAGTTGGCTTCTGCACTCGGCTTCCGTGCCCTGCGTTTGTTGCATTCTTCCCACCAGGTTGGTTCACTTCCGCAAGCAATCGCATGGTTGATCCTGATGCCCGTCGCGGTCGTTGGGCCGCGGCAACGCATCTCCTGTTTGTGCAATTCGACCCAAAGCGTGCTAATTTTGCAGTCTCGGGTTGTAGACTTAGTGCATATTCACATCTGTTATTTGCCTTAGCCGGAGTATTCTTCGTTCCCTCGTTTACGGTCTCGGTTTCAATTTCGACGCGAACGAGGCCCTTGTGCTCTCACCAAACAACCACGACCCTCCTATGACCTCCACGACGTCCTAAGTTGTCCATCGCTTCTCTTGCCGCAGCGCGGCCCAGGATAGATGGCAACTTCTCACAGCGTAGGGTGTGCGGCGCCTGATGCCCGCGCGTCGCCCACAAGCATGCATATCATCCAACCGCCATTTGATCATACTGTTGCTCCAAAACACGCCGCCTCGAGTGCGTTGGATCAGGATTTTTCGTTTCCCGCCGACTCGCGACTTCCCAACCCGCCATTCGTATTCCCAGCTAGCCCAGCTCCCTCTTCGTCGCCGCCCATGTCCAGGCAGCGTCGACGACCAGTCTCCATGGTAGATCTTCAAAACAGGCCTCCAGTGTCTCCGACTGTAGAGTCGCCGAGCAGGGCTCATCGACCAGCAGCGCTTCCACAGTTTAGTTTCAACCCTGGCGCAGCCTTGTCAACAGGTCTTGAATCGACGACGGCCCTCAGTCCTCCAATTACACCAAATTCGGCCAGGGCCCTCCCATCCCCGTTACGGCCCGCCGGGCATGGACACCGACGTGGAGGGAGTGAGTTCGTGGGGGGCAGTATTCGAGACGGTAGCTCTATTGCGATCATGAGCACCAGCCCAATCAAATTGGAGAGTGGTTTCGCTTCTCCTGGACTTCACCCACCGCGTAGGGGCCATCGGCGTGGCGTCTCTGGCACGATATCCACCAACGAGCTACCTATACTCCATCCGCAGCCCGACTTGTTAAGACCAAAGGGAAGCAGCGCGCCGAATAGCCCAACTGCATTCAATCCAAAGGAAGGTACTCTTTTGCCTATAGACCACCAACCTCCTCCACTCCCGGAGCCTGCCAATCCTATTGCGCCGCAGCCGTTCAACACGACCGAGAAGAACACAATCAGCAACCACTCTGTAACTATATCATCTTCTCTTCCAAGGCCGGAGCCCTCCCTGAGGCAATCGCGACCGGGGAGGGCTCGGGTTGGATTCTCGGACACTCTAGAGTTTATTCCCCGGCCACTGTCACTGATCTCTAGCGACACATCAAGTACAATGACGGCTCGCCCGGGGCATTCTGTGTCTGGCAGCATATCTTCCCTTGTTTCTGCTGCCTCTCCTGGAGGCCGCGAAAGTCCCGCGTCCCTTGCTCGAAGTCCTACTCGTGAGACAGTGGACTCCAGACCAAGCACAGCTGGCGCTATCTTGGAACGCACTACTGATTTTAAGGCTGCCAGCGGCGGAATTAGCACCTCTCCGAGACGACGAAACTCGATTCCAACATTGTTAGATATGGCCAACTCGCAGCCCACCAGTGCAACACCGCCGAGTCCGACAAAGACGCCCAAGAGGTGGTCTTTCTTTGGCTTGGAACCCTTCATGGGTTCCATGCCGTCATCCAAACAACGGTCCTGCAGTTCTAGTTCCTCAGAGTCCATCTCGAAGACCTGTCCTGGAGGACTGTCATCCGATCATGAATCTAGCTCGTCGGGTGATGAAGGCACTGTTGGGGACAGCTCTACTAGCACTACTAAAAAGGACCGCAAGAAGAGTAGCAAGAAGAAACGAGTGAAAGGTTGGGCTGGATCAATACTACCCCTTCGAAACAATAAAAAACGGCCAAAGATGCATGCAGTGCGCCCACCAACACCTCCGGCGTCGGTAGGTCCAGTTGCAGATGACGAGGACGAGAATGAGGACTGCGAAATTACACAAAACGAAATGATATCCGCGCCAGCACCCCCTATCGTTACGGTAACTGAATCACCACCTCTGGAAGAACCAAGTGTCCCCCAACGACGGTCCGAGGAAGAGAGCTCGTACCCTATGATTGACTTGGATGCAGCTCTTGGTCCTTTCAATACGCCGTTGCCTCACAATCCGGAGTGGGACGCAGCACAGCGAGCTGCTGGTATTGTAAACAAGCGCCGACTACACAGCGCGCAGGGTTTGAAAGGGTTTAGCGGACCCGGTATGCACTATCATCGCCGGACAGAATCAGCGCCAGATCTGCCACCATTTGATCCAGGCCGCGCTGGCATTAGTCGGTTTGGTAGCAGCTCTACAATGGCAGACGTGTTTGAAGAGGAGGAAGAACAAGGAGAAGAGGAGGAGGAGGGTGAAGACAAATTAAAGGAGGCCGAAGTTGGCCTGGATGAGGTCGGCGCCCAAAAGAATGACGATTCAGACGGGGAGATGACACCACCCGCCACAGAGCTTGTCCCAGCGGATTCTTTGATTCTTGGTGTGGATGAGCTGGAAGCTGCGGCAGTTCGCCGCAAAGCAAGCTCTGGCACATGTAACACTGACCACTCAACTTCTGCCCATGCAGTTCGCACAGAATGCTCCAGGACGTCGCTGCACGAAGACGTTATTAATGAAGAGCCTGTGCCTATCATTTTCCGTGGTGGTCCGGTCTTCCCGGGCTTACCAGCTGATCAACATGGGTCGACTTCGTCTTCTCCAAGAATGCCACCTGGACAACGAGATTTGTCGATGGTTGAGACTAATCAAGCAATGCCCACCAGTCCATACTCGACAAGTCATGCCTCATCTTATCCCTCACCAAGATCACCTATGTCCATCGACGCCCAGCGAATCTGTACTGCCCCCTCGTCCGTCACTGATGAGAACAGCTTCCATTCGCTGCTGATGGGCGAACCTGGTCCTGAAGTGCGGATTTCAGTTGACTACGATATTCCGTCGCTCACCTCAAGCAACTCGACAATGACTCGGGACAGCGCCTTCATACCCAGTGCACGCATGTCACAGCCAAGCCTCCGGGAGCAACGTCCATCGTCAGTTTCCTCGGCCGCTTTTGGACGCCGTCGATCAAGTCTTGTGTCACTGAGCCGACTCATCAGCAGCTCACACGGCGAGAGGAGTAAGCTTTCCATGGAAGTGACCTTGGATAATGAGACAGAAGGCAAAAGAAGTCGGTCAAAGAGCAGCAAGACAAGAAGGCTTGGGCGCATGATGCAATTTTGGAAGCCAAACAAGGAATCGAGCCCAACGTGAATCACATTGGCCACGAAACAAGCCTTGCTATGCAAAGTCATGGACACAGCGAGAACATGCCAACTTTTTTTCACTTTGCATTACTTTGCAGCAGCGAACATGAAGAGAAAACTTGATGGGAAAAAGCAATTTAAAAAAGAGAGGAAAAGAAAATCATCATCAAATATTATTACGAATGAATATGGATTATTACGTACCTGCGCATTTTGCATCACTGTATAATGTGTTGCGAAGAACGACATCTATTCAGCTTTTGACAGGTCCCATTTTGTGAGCAACAAGTCTAATCAAGCGGCAAGACGTTGCAGGCATCATTATCGAAAGCAACTGACTATGAGAATGGGCACGATATATCCGATATTGTACTCTTCTCAGATGGCACGTTGAAACGGAGTGCTGAGGATGAAGAGGGGGCATACAATCGACAGATTTGAATCCAAGCCGCCTCACACAGAAAGACATGGGGCATGTGGCGTTTGATGACTTTTGCATGAGCATTTGTTATTTTGAGCATGAACACATAGCATGTCTTTTCTTTATCTGCTTTATCCCTTTCATGCATGTCTTAACGGGTAGAGGCGGGCAAGGAACCGAGGGTTCAGGTACCACGATTTGAAAATAGTCGTGGTATTTGTTTGGCCTTGTGCCCAAGGGGGGGGTGGTATTTGTTATTTTATTTCCTTCCGTTGGACATATTTTGCATTGGGCGCGGGATCGAAGACGGCGCCTGGCAGGCGACGATGGGATATAAGAGGTAGATTTTCGGTAGAAATTGCGAAGCGGAGGTGTAAATGAATGATAACTACAACTTATACATTATGAATACTATGTTTTTAATGTGAATGCTTTGCGCTGCTGCGCGATTGCTTGTCCGATGACTGTGAATCATGCTGAGTCGCCCTTCAGAGTGATAGATTACAAGGCGCTCGTCTTATTCGTAGTTCTGCGCAGTAGCAAGCATGCCCTAAAACGATGGATGAAATTGTATAGATTGAATCGTCGAATAATGGCCTACATGACAACCACAAACGAGCGTAAACATGACCATTTCCAAGTGAACAAAGGGACAGACGCAGCCCCAACACAACCAACAATCCGCAAGCACCATTGCCGATCCCTAAAAACCAAATATCCCATCACCCATAAAACGCCAAATACGCCAGCGAATGAAAACTCATGCTCATCAAGTACTCTGCTCGCCTGCTATGAAAGGGTATATTTCCAAGGCAGAGCTCAAAAGAATCGCCTGGCCACGTCCGCAATGGTATTGCTCCAACTGTCGCCGCTTCCGCCGTAGCCGCCACGGCCCGTGGAATTGCCATAGCCGTAGCCATCATATCCGCCATAGCTGCCGTAGCTAGATCGTCGCTCCCACTGCATGCCGCCGTCACGGCCACGGGAGATGCTGGCGCCGCGGGTGTTGCCGCCAAAGTCGCCGGCCATGCGGACGGCGTCGCTGACGAGCCCAAAGGAGTCGCCCGAGGCGGCGCGGGAGGCCATGCCCATCATGCGCTCCAGAGACGGCGGGATGCGCAAGCCAAAGCGGGCAAGCAGGCCGGCCAATGCCCCCGTGGTGACGAGGGGCATGACCACCAGGAAAAAGACCTTCCACGGGTGGCGCTTGGCATAGTGGATGAGATCGCGGATAAGGCGTTTGAGCCGCTTGTACGCTCGCTGCATGAAGCCTTGCCGAGGGGACCGTTTGTAGTACGAGGAGCGACTCCCTGCCGCATTGCGTGTTAGCGAAACAGGACCACCATGGGGCCAGTGTGCGGCCAACGACTCACCACCACCACCACCAAAGTTGAAGAAGCTCGAGCGGCTGTTGTTGTTGCCGACGCCGAAGAAGGAACCCCGCGACGAATTGTGCTTGTTGTAGTGGCTGTCGCCGGTTAGGCCGCCCAACAGAGCGCCGGCGATTGAGTTGGCGCCGCCGCCGCCGCCGCCGCGGGTGCGAGAGCTTGATCGCGAGCGGGAACGGTGCTTCCTGCGCGACCGAGAGGCATCCCGACGGTGTTTGGACGGGCGGGACATGCCGCCGGGGCCGATGGAGAGGCCATCGGTGAAAGGGTCGAGAAAGCCCATTGCTGTATTGTGCCGGCTACGCAAAGATGCCAAGGGCGCAGGCAATTGCTCTGGATGGTAGATACCAAGGTAGGTAGGACTGGTAGCTCCGCGGGGAGGCTTAAATAGCTTGACGGCAACCTTAAACTGAGATGGTCAGGAGCGGCTGTTGTCCAACTTGCTCGTTTTGGAGGGCAATGCGACGGCGATTTCTTGCAGTGGGAGAGCAGAACAGATCTGTGCTCAGGAGAAAGGTTGGATGCCCAGACCGCCGACGATGCGGGTTTGTGCAGGTTGCAGCTGCAGTCTGCAAGACAGAGAACGGAGAGCGAGCTTGGACAGTGTCAATCTCTGGAAGCGGGTCGGGGCTCAAGTGCTGATGATTGAAACTGGGGCTGGGAAGGAACGATGGGGAAAATCGAGGGGCTGGTAGGCGCACAAGCTCAACCACAATATACAATATCGAACACCACAGATCAATTGCATATGTGTACTCCGTATTCCGTATTTCAAATTTCCGCAAGCCTGGGCTCGGACTCGGTACTACGCACTACATACTGCACACGATGCGTCGGCTACTTCTCCTGCAACTCTTGATGTTCATCGGCTGGCCAAGCTCCTCTCTGCAAATGCATGGGGACATCTGCCTCGTCTATGCGATCGTCGGCTGATGGGATGTGTGGAGTCTCAAATGCTCGACATTGGGTCAAATGCGGGCGACTGATGACCGGCAGGGGTTGACTGGGCCCTTTGTCGCCGTTTCTTGATTACTAGCGCAGCCATCAATCAGCATCATCCCGTCAACTGGCTGCGTTTGTTGTAGCGGTCTGCGATCGTAGCGGCCCTCGCACCAATGTGGAAGGCATAAGCAGTTTGCAATAGGAGCAAGAGAGTTATTGTAAATCTGTCAACCACTATTCTCGCGCGCCCAATGATAGATGGGTCGTATTTGATTGCTAATAATACATATAGTTTATGTGCAGGCTGCATATATGGATACTCTTGTTGACTAATATCCGTCTGCTGAGTCCCAGTTGATGCTACATGATGCCAAACATTTTTCAACATGGTATGTTTATATCTGCCTGAGTGGGACAAGACGACCAAAATATATCCACCATGCTAGCGAGCAATCTAGGCTTTCAACTTTCGGAAACACGTCGACCAAAGCCCGCATTAACTGGGAACCCGTTGCCCAAGTATCCATCCAGTGATTACGACTGGATTCATCATTGATGCCCAAGTTCAATAGTCGTGGAGAAACAAGGAGACCCGCACACGCTCAAAACGCGGCTACCAGACGACAGGTCCTCGAGATGACTCAACGCAAGCCCGCAATCTGTCCAACGGACGCAAACTTGGGAAGAAACGTATCAGTCACATCAAGAAGAAATGCTACGGTACAGCGAGCGGGTCTCTGGTCTCTAGGACGCGACTGTTTGGGCAGAGATGCAGAGTCCAGTATGATGCTGAGCACGAGGTTTCATGTGAATAGTGGTAGGTGACCTCGGGAAAGGAGGGGACATCTCGCGAGCCTCCGAACCAAGGTACCTGTCCTCGGCCAAAACTCTCTTTTGAACTTGCATTATAGAAACCATGGCCATGTTTCTTGTCAAGAGAGTGCGGCAGCGGCGAATGTGCCCTACATATGTAGACAACTACTGGATCATGGGAGATGAAGCACAAAAATACTAGAGATACAAACTGCCTCGACTGAACAGATATGAGGTGCGAGGATGAGAATGGCTTCGTTTTAAGTGCCCTAACGTCGTTACTATTACGAGCCTACCTCCGTTTATTTCCCGAAAGTCTCCATCTTGAAAGAAATTGCACAGGACGGCAATGTAAGCTTGATAGGCTATATACAGATGCCTACGTCTATTGATACATCATATATTGATTACTATCCAGTGTTCCCTTTGGTATGTCACGGTTCTATAGTGTAGGTGCAACCAGAGAACCGTGGCAATACACACACACACACACACTTACATATATGATGCTAGAATTACCTTAACCAAGCTTAAAGTATCCTGGCTGCAGCTTTTGCCAGGCCTTGGTGGGATCATACTTGGCCTGAATGGACTTCAGCCTCGCCAAATTGACCTCCCCGTAGCTCGAAAAGACATCTTGCTGCAGGGCCGCGTAGTTCTGGTACAGATATGGGTGGTCCAAACCCTTTGCCTTGGCAGCTGCGGCGAAGCGAGTGGCCATGTTCTGGGCGGCGGTAATAATGCGCACGTCGTCGGTCTCGTTGGACCACGAGATATCAATGTTGATCACTGCGCGTGGTCAGAAACAATGAGGGGCATGGGCACGGATCAAAGGAACAAACATACAGTTTAGGGGGCCTTGGCCGGCGAGACCCAGGGGGTTACCGCCGTTTTTGGACATGAGCTTGGTCATGTCCGTAGAAATGGGCTGGAAAATCACCGAGGGGACAATCCCAGGTGCGTCCTTGATCTTTTCAACTTCGTCCTGGTAGATGGCAACCATTTCGGACATCAAACCGGCATCGTTGCCAGTCGTGAGAGCCCAATAGGTTTGTCTGAGCACATTGTTAGTTGTCGCGTTGCAGATCAGGCAATACACGAAGACGCACCGGAAGCCGCCAGGGTTGCTGCTGTTGAATTCAAGGGTCAGGCCCGTCAGGTTGGTAACACGGAGCGTGTCTGCAACAGGTCCTTTGATTGCGGTAAAATTGTTCAAAATAGCCGGGTTGGGAGTGGGCTTTCCGTACTGAAGATCGGAAGCAATAACATACACGCCTTGGGACTGGACATAGGCATATGCAATGATGATCTGAGCGTACGGATCTTGCGGTGAGTTGATGGCCAAGTGGTAAAAGGCATTGTTTATAGCAGTCGCCGTTTCATTGGTGAAAAGGAAGGCCTGAGAGCCGGCCCACATATCACCTTGAGGATACGTCGCGAGGTCGAAGCGAGTCACGATACCAAAGTTGTTTCCTCCACCACGAAGAGCCCAGTACAGGTCAGGGTAGGCACGGGGATTAACATGACGGATAGAACCGTCGGCGAACACAACCTGTCCAACGGTTAGTTGGCCAGGGCTTACACATGGACAAGACCGCAAAGACCGTCCGTCGACCTACCTGGAAGTTATTGACATTGTCACAAGACCAGCCATATCGGTTAGAAAAGAATGAAATGCCTCCGCCTAGAGTCAAGCCCCCGACGCCAATAGCAGACACTCTGCCTCCAACGACCGTCAAGCCCATGGGCTGAAGCTTGGTGTAAACGTCGTACCAAACATTTCCGGCGCCAACGGATGTCTGTTTCTTATCAGCAGAGACCACAACCTGGTTCAGGTTTCTCAGATCCAGCGTCAAGCCACCCTCAATGTTGGAGGCACCAGCAAAGGCGGCATGGCCACCGCTCTTGACGGCAAACTTGCACTGTGTCACACGAGACGTCAGCACAGCAAGCGACACGTCGACTGCCGCACCTGGTGTAAATCTACAGGCGGGACGAGTGAAGGCTTGTTGCTGTGACCAGTACCGTGACTCCTCGAATTCATAAGCCAGGCTATTGGGGTATGAAAGCTTTCCAGGCCGGCTGAAGGCTAAGAAGCCACACTACAGCGTGTATTAGCGGCCAGTCGCAGATTTTCTGAGCGGCTTTACAAGACTCGGGCAAGTGCCTTACAGCTAGAGTACAGCCAAACCGGGGATCGGACGGCGCAACGTGGGTTCCATTCTGCTCTTGATAAGCCTCGATCTGTGCCTGAACCTCACTCAAGGTGAACGTCGCGGCACTGACACCCAGCTGGGCTAGAAGCATGGCACCAAGAACCAGAAGCTGCATGCTGAAGCCAGATCAGGGCAAGCTGGGGAGGTTGAGCTGCAGGTACTGTGCTGTCTTGGTAGGAGACACCTAGTTTGGCCTGCAGTATGGAGGAGATGGAGGGGCTCCTTCAGGGGTCGGAAAGTCTGGACGAAGTCGAAGAACGGCGTGGATGGCGAATTGATGGACGAGAATGGTCCAAGAGTCAAGTCACAAGGTCGTCGTCGTTCTCCCCCCCGTCGTGCTGGGGAGTCCTTGACGGGAATTCCGACACTTTATCATGTGTGTTGTTTCATGGATTGCATTGTGCATTTCGGGTAAGTAGATGGCCGCCGTTCTCTCTGTTACGTAGTGCAGCATCCCATGTTTGTTCCCGCAATTAGGGCCATTATGACCTAGCTTGAGGGAATATCAAGCCCAAGTAGACCGGAGCGTTTTCCCGGCTCGGTGTGGCGGCTGGCTGGGGGTTGATTGAAGATGGAGAAGCGGAGAGGACGGAAGATTGAAGGGGATGTGAAAGGTGGAGAGTGGATTGGCGGTGGATTGACGGGCCGGGGGCGGGGCGGCGTCTCTCCCGCTAAGCACCCCGTTGAGTGCCCCCTGCACGTGCTAACATCAAGGACTTCAATGTTGACCACTAAAACATTCAAGGCTCCGTCTGGTCGATATCGAATCCTCCAAAGGTTGCGCCCATCGATCCAAGTTGGGGAACTGCGCCGTCGACATGCATCAGAATAGACTCGACAAACGCCGACAGACGCCTCAACGGGCCTAGGAGGGTTCCAACGGGGACCTGGACGGCACTGGAACACCCTTCTGTACCGCATGCCCATGTCCAGCCCGCATCATCATCGTCTCCCGAGTCCCAAGCGAGGGACTGCAAGACACCCGTCCCGTCGCAAGAACTCGAGGCATGGGATCGGTTCAGGCGCCTTTCGGCAACTGCTCTTTGCACTGCCCATTATGGTGGCTTATCATGGCGTGTCAAGGGTGACCAAGGTCGCCCCCAAGTGGCTGCTGCTTATGGGGTACTCCTGAGTTTGCCGACTGACAATTCGGTTTCGGTCGTAAAACTCTCGACATGCTGCTCCCGGTGGCGCCTCGTATACCCCGGTTTTAACTGTCAAACTGCTCGCTTGGGTCACTTGCCGATGATGAGCAAAGCCTGTTGATATTCACTCGGGCTATTACTATACGCAAGTCGTCATGGAGTGCGTT